TGTGAAACAGTGTTGTACTAGATTTTCTTTAGAAGTGTTGAACACGAGATCATGTTGTTAACCAATCACATGGCTTCTTTTCCACCTTTATTGATATCGTAAATGATACCGTATCAACTAAATAAAGGTGGAAAAGAAGCCATGTGATTGGTTAATAACACGATCTCATGTTCAACACTTCTAAAGAAAATCTAGTACAACATGGTTTCACAACAAATGAAGAATTACCTTTGCTATTATTTAACTTAAAGATTACATTATAATTATAATCTAACTAAACATTTAAATTTTCCGATGGTTTAGCTGTTTTATATGTTGATTTAGTGAACGTCTCTTCAATCCAAAAAAAATCTTTCCGATAGACTACCTCACAGCCAATTCAGGTTATAAACTCCTTTTATTGTTTTTTACAGATGCATTTTGAGCTAGGTTAATTTACTAGCTCCTCCTCATTGCTTAAGAGTTTTCATGAGTTTCATATGATCTAATTTTCACACTTATATGGTACTTTTAGTCCTGTTTAGAATACTTTTACCATCTTATAAAATTACTCAAATGCATCTGTAAAAAACAATAAAAGGAGTTTATAACCTGAATTGGCTGTGAGGTAGTGTACCAGAAAGATTTTTTCAGATTGAAGAGACGTTCACTAAATCAATAAATAAACATTTAAAGTTAATTATCTCTATCTCAAATGTTAAACCAAACCAAAGTTAAGTTTACTACCTAAATGTGTAAGAAGTTTTACTGATTTATAGTAACCAGTCTAAATAATAAAAGTTTCTTAAGTATTTAAAAAAATGTTTTATTTCTTTAAAAAAAAAACCCATAAATTGTTGGATAGATAGATAGATAACACTTTATTGCACCAAAAATATATCCATACTGGATCCAGCTGGAATGATGTTGGTCCAGCAAAAATCCAGCTAGATTGAAAACACTGCTGGATTGCAATTCCTATTAATGATCTTTACATCCTAAAGTGATTAAGATCAAGTTGGTATCTGTTACAATATCATCAATAACAACAACAAATTTCTTATCTTCTACATAAGAAATAGAAATGAGTTTGAAATGTTTTTCACACAGCAGTAGTAAATGCAATAGCTTTTTTGGAAGGATGCAGGACTCTTCCATGGCTTATGGATAAGGTCCTATGATTTTTTCTCTTGTTCCTTCTGCTCCTGGGAAAAATAGTAGAAATTGCATCTTTAGTGTTGGTTGTAAATACTTCTATGTATGTTCCTCCCTCAATAATTAGATCTTATGTCTTTATAATGTAACAACTATCAAAATACAACTCACAAACAAAGGATTTCTTGGTGATTTCAAAGTCTCTTGGTATATTTCCTTCTCCATGCATTTTGTTTTTCCAGATCTCTTGGAAATGAAAACATAGCATGAAAACATTTTTCTTTACAAGAGGCATAGCCACTTTTACCCTGGAACTCAGCACTTAGAAGGCATTATTACATCAAAACCAAACAATTTCTACATTAAAAAATCTGCTATAGCAATAACCAACATGGCCTGAATTGTTGGCAGTGCCGTCCTGGTGGCGAAATCTATTTCTAGATGCTTTTTCAACACACTTCTTATGAAAGTTCTTCAATCTTATATTCTAGTGATAGTGGTGATACTGAATGTTGTGCTGTATAATTATTGATATAATATACTCGAAGCATTGGTTTTACTTACTTTTGAGAGATAAAATAAAACTGAATAAAATTGATTAATTATTATTTAATTAATTAATTTATTTATCTATAATTACCAGAAAAAATGTTGAGAAGAAAAACAACTGTATATGCTATAGTTTAATAATTATAATAATAATTTTGTTAGATTTTCAGTGTTTTATGTTGTTTAATACACATCAACTATTAAAGAATCTATTGTATTTTTAATAAAAATAAATATAAAATTTATATTTTTTACTAATTTGGAATATTTATACCACATTTACTACATTTTTTCATATTCTGCATAATTTCAAATTGAAATATGAAAAATGTGATATAGTAATAATAGTTTATTCTATATTATATTTTAAAACATTTCACCTAAAATATATCCTTACAGGAGAAGTAGACACAAGATTTTCATTTTGTGCAGTGGCTTGTCTTGCATTATTGGTAAGAATATAATTTTATTTATAAATTAATTCTAAACAAATAAAATCATTTAGCAAATTTGTTTGTAAAAAAATCTATAAATTATTTCATAATTTTTAGAACATTTTGAAAAAATATTAACTTTCAATTATACTTGTTGGATTGGTTGTTTTTATACATATGAAAACCTAACAACCAGTGGTCCGATCAGGTTACACCTATGTGTGGACACAAGATTTGGGGATGTCTTTTGTTTGGGTCAGTTGAACAAGCAGGATGTGACCGGAGTCCACTCTGGACTGTTATAATCAACCAACTAGTACTTTGTGAGAGATTAAATGAGAATTTCACAATTAGAGATCTTTACACCCTAAGATCCTAACAATACTCATTTTGTTATAAAAATTATAAATTTTTTAATAATGTTCTCAACATTTAAAAATGTTTTTGTTTTATTAAAGCAACATTTGTTTTTTTTTTCTTGTCGTAGAGAAGTTTATTTAATTTTTTCTCGATTTTTAAAAAGTACAAAAGAAATTCACTCTCATTTTCAGTGTTTTTAGAAGCATCCAACGATTGCCTAAATGATAAGGCTGCAATTCTGCTGATTTTTAAATAATACAAAGTAATTTGCTACTAGAGGTAGATGTTAGGCACCATCTCTTAACTAAATTAATAATTATAATTTCAATAATTTATTAAAGTTTTCAGCAGTATCTTAGAATAATAGTTTATTTTAGCTTGTTTGTTTTTCAAAATATCAAAATAATTATCATTTCATTATAAATAATAAAAATAATATTTATAATTTAATTTAATTTTGATTATATTGAAAAACAGAAAAAAATATTTTAAAATAGAATTCATTTTTATTGTACATCTAATTTTCTATATTAATTATAACATATGACATTTTTTAAAAATTTTGCTTGTATACAAATATATTTTTAAAATATGTATGTAAAGTGTAGTTTATTTTAAATTTTAAATGAGCAAAATTAATGTGTTATGGTAGTTTTGAAATATTAAAATTGACTAAACATAAATAATAATTAAATACAGGGTCATGTTCAAGCAATCAATGTTAAAAAGACTGTAGATTTCATCTTATCATGCATGAATTTTGATGGAGGATTTGGATGTCGACCAGGATCAGAAACTCATGCTGGACAAGTATGAGAATTAATTAGTCTTTAAATTTATAAATTAAAGGCATTTTTAAAATATTTTTTTATTGTATAAAATTATTATAAGTATTTTATTAAAAGTTGATAGTTTAATTATAGAATGTGCTACTTTTTCAGATTTATTGTTGTTTGGGTACACTTTCCATACTTGGTCATTTACATCAAGTTAATTCCAATCTGCTTGGATGGTGGCTTTCAGAACGCCAACTTCCTTCTGGTGGATTAAATGGTATTAAAAAATTAATTTTTTTGTATTAATTAATTGATTCAAAATTTAGTTTGTTACTATTATAAAAACTGTTGTCTGTGTGTGTGTGAATTCCTTATGACTCCTGCAATTTTTGTCCAATCCAGATGAAATTTTGGTTATATTCATTTTATGTTCTGACAGAAAGTACAGGCTACTTGTTTTGCAGAAATATTAGCTGTATAATAAATGATTTATCAATTTTAGATCAGTGATCACACATTTTATTTTGAATTTGAAGTTTCATCAGTATGTCATAGATTGCAATGAAAGACATAGTACTTGTATTTTAATAAATTAGATAATTTTTTATATTTTTTATCATTCATATGTATTAAATTTCTATGCCTTAATCTTTTTGTACTATTGTACTAGAATTAAAATTAAAATTTTTACTTTATTTGAGGTATTTGTCTACATATTCTTTCTCTACTAAGTGCAATCAGTTAGCCAAAATTATTCTGTCCCAATTATTTTGGATAATTGACACACTACTGTACACTACCTGCTGAATATTAATATTATTACTGGAAATAATAATTCAGTTTGTGAAGTTCCTGTGTCTGTTCATTAGTTGACACAGGATTGATCAGTTGACACAGTTGACAAGATTTATCTTCATGAGATGATAAATGTTGTCAACTGATCCTGGCATGAACAGTAGCAAGTCTACTATTCTTCATGTAACTTTTAATGATATACCTTTGAGAAAGCATAGCTGAATCCAGATGGAAAGGATTACGCTCAGCAGGTTAATAAGAAATATTTATTTATTAAGCATTCTCTGGCTTATACTGTGTTACTGGTTTGCAGAGAGAGAGGGGAGATCTTTATTTGACATAGGCATCTTCAGAATTGGATATAATATTACTGCATGAAATTCCATTTTCTTTGTAGTCCAACATTTTCCAAGGTGAGGATAGTTAATCAGTCCTTTGCTCCTAGTCACTTTCTATCCTTCAATTCTTGATCCAAACTGTTTTTCTGACCATAGATTTCTCTCATTATACTTTGAACTTTCTTCACCGAACTTCTCATCAGCGTTCTATCAGACTCCATACACACATCTTAAAGTTCAGGTTGCTTCCCTTGTTTTTACCTTGATATATCTTGTTACTTGGATGACCAGTCCAGTTTTACCAAATAATAATTGACTTCAGATCATTTAGGTAACAACTAGTCAGATTTCATGCTGAAATACAGCCTGTGTATGTGTGTCTATTTGGTCATTGTTGTTGGTAAAGTAACATTTTCTAGGTGTACTTCTTTCTCAAGATAGTGATGTAGGTGACTGCTGAGATCTCACAAGTTTAAATGTTTCAAATATATGAAAATATAAAATTTTTGCCATGTTTAGATGAATTTAATTAAAAGAATTTTATGTTTACTGTTTGTTAACTGGTTAAGAAAAATGTTCTATTCACACTTATTAATACTGGAGTGGACATATACCAGCAAACCTTCTTTGTAGTACATTCTCAACAATTCAACAGTAGCTTATTATCTAGATCAGTGGTTCTCAAACTTTTTGAAGTCGGGGTGTATTTAAAATCCTACAAATAATTGTAGGTGCACTATATACAAATTTCTGAGAAATATGTTATAAGAATTAAGTCAAATATTAAAGAAAAAAATATATAAAGTTCGAGTTTGCTTTTATGGTAATTAAAAAAAATAAATACGACAAAATTAAATTTATTCTGACATTAAAAAACATTTTTATGTTACATTTTTTGAGTTATGCTTTTTAGAATTCGTAAAAAAGAGGGGTTAAAAAATAAAAAAATATATACAAAAAAGTTATCTTTTATGTATATAGATACATTCTTAGTAAGATTTAGTAAATTTGGCAGGTCCTGGCACGAAAGTTTTTTCATTCTTGTGTTTATGAGGAACATGTGCCTGATGTGTCTTAGCAATTTTTTCAATGTTTGGGCATATATTTGAAAGGCAAACTCTCATTCCTCATCAATACATTGAAGAATTCCTCTCTTTTTACCCTTAATGTTTAGGGTAGAAAATCCTAATTCACATAAATAGGATATTTAAAATTGTAGTAAAATGTTCAAAGCTTTTTTTAGATATTGCCACATATTCTTCTTTTATAGAAATCCAATAAGCTTCAAGAGACAATTTCTTGTGTTTAATTGTCAATCCATGCTCAGAGGATATAGCTACCAGTTCTTCTTCTTTGTAAGCCTAGAAGTTTGACAATGGCATTTGGATCGTCAAGCAAGATTCTACTGACGTTCCAAATGCCATTGTCAAACTTCTAAGCTTACAAGAAGGTGGCACTGAACATCCAATGTTCATGTTTTCATGTTGAAAACTCTGGCTGCAACCTCGCTAGTATTCAAAATATTGAGCTGCTGAAATATATCGGCCAAATACTCTAACCTAGCAATCCAAAATTTGCACCGAAGGAGGTTACAAAAATGTAACTGTTTCATTTCTTCAAAAACACAAGAAGTTCTTGTCGTAGCTTGTGTACATGAGTAAGTACTTTTCCCCTTGACAACCACCTCACCTCAGTGTGTAAAATCAGCTGTCTGTGTTGTGAATCCATATCGATACAAAGCTTTTCGAATAAATGCGATTTGACAGGTCTTGTTTTAATAAAGTTTACCATATGAACAACTTGATCTAAAATTTTTCTTAATTTTTCTTCCAATGTTTTTGCCATCAAGGCCTCCCTATGAAGAAAGCAGTGAGTTATGATAACATTCTCATTTTGTTTTTTTTTTTACAAAAGATGTAAGACCCTTAACA